GTCTCTCAATATATATTTAAAATACTCATTAATAATTCATAAACCTTGGGTCAAATCATGTCAGCCATAATATGTCACGTGGAGTGACTTTATATCTGATAAAGCATGTGGCATTATATAATTAGTATTCTGAATTAGTATTCTTTTTTTGTCGTATTTTAAGCTATTCAGGACACGAGTAGGGGTGTTACGAAACGCAAAGAGTGCTCAATATCATAAAGATAGAGCAAATGTAGAATTTCGCTTACCTCAAAATTCCGCAGTCTGTTTCATCAATAAAGAATCATCAGGCGGTATCTGATTGGATGATTGGATGATATCATAAATAATCACATTAATTTATTCTTAAATTGTTGCGACGGCATAAAATCACATCGCTCAGCACAGCAGGCGACATTGTTCTTTTAATCTCATTTCGTAAACAGTTACGTCCGCAAATTCCAACTTGCAACTACGTGCTTGTTTTTGTTGCTAATTATCTAACTTTGCGAAATTCTCAGGATAAACACACAAAAACGACTGTAGGTTTACATGGTTGCAAAGTGTTCAACCCCTATAGTCACACAAGGCTGATTTCGAAATTTACATTTTCTAAAAGAATATAGTTCTCGGTAAAAGCTAAGCGTTGGAGGATTCGGTTGATTTATTCTGTTTTAGCTTTGCCTTCGTCTTTCGAAGAAAACTGCAAGCGTATGCAGGTCAATATATGAAACAGTTTCTACTGATTATGTTACAAGATGTAACTTAACTTTGATTGTATCGTAAAGAATATGTCCGAGGGTTACGACACAACTCGCTTTCGTTCAACTATTGACGAGGGCTTTGTTTGCTGTATCTGTCTCGGTGTCTTACAAGATCCGAAGCAATGTGAGAACAACGAGCACTATTTCTGTTCTGGTTGTATCAAGAAACACCTGGAGAAGACCTCGCATAGTTGTCCTGTCTGTCAACAAAAACTGACGGTAGAGACATTGCGTAAGGCTCCACGAATTGTGGCCGACTGTGTTTCCCGTTACAAGATCAGTTGTGACCATGCCGCGAGAGGCTGTGATGCGGTTCCCGAGCTTGGAGCTCTGCAGGCACACGTTCAAGACTGTGATTTCATGCCTGTCACTTGCTCAAATGACGGTTGTGACGAAGTCGTGAGCAAACGCGATGTAAAGCAACACGAGCTCGATTTATGTCGCTTCAAGACGACGACCTGTGACGACTGTGGGGAAAAGATGTCTCATCATAAATATGGCGCCCATGGCTGCGTACTACGACGTGATGTAGACGAAATAAAGAATGATCTGGCAGAAGTGAAAGTCACGCAACATGAAATGATGAAAGAAATGAGAGAAGGCATGCAGCGATTGGCAATTGCGTTTGAAAGTCTTCAAAAGTCTGTAAACTCCAAGAGTACTGATATTGTTGTCATTGCAGGTTGGAATCCTAAAACAGAACAGTTCCTTTCTTCTGTTGAGCGATTTAACTTGTTAAACCAAACCTGGACGCAACTGCCTCTGTTGAAAATTGCTCGACGTGCTGCTGCAGCTGTGATATTTAAGAATCAAGTGTTTGTTTGTGGCGGGTACAGCGACTCTGATGGCCGTTTGGATAGTATCGAAATATTGGATCTGAATGGTAATCCTCTAAAATGGCACGAGTTTTTTGTCAATCTTCCTGTTAAGGTCACTGCTCACAAGTGCGTCGTCCATGGGAATCGTTTGCTGATTATTGGTGGCCGCATAAAGGCAAGCGAGGTGCTGGACACGATATACGAACTTCTCCTTGTTCCTCCGTATTCATCCAAGTTGCTTTGTCACATGAAGAAGAAACGAGCGTTCCATGGAGTGGAGTTGTTCGATGATAAGGTTTTAATCGCTGGTGGAATCGGAGCGGAAACTGATGTGGAAATATTCGACATAGCAAGAAATGAATGTGTTGAAATGCCACCACTGCCTTCTCCTCTTTCGAATATGAGCACAGTTCGCCGCGGTGACAGCATGTTTTTGATTGGAGGCGTGGATGATCTCGACGCAAAGATATTCAGCAATAAGATTATCGAGTACGATTTCAAAACTGGCCAGAGTAAGGTCGTATTGGCGATGAAAACTGGACGAGCTTTTTGTTCGTGTGTTTCTCGTGGAAACACGCTTATTGTAATCGGTGGGGCGAGGTACGACCCTGATGCAGTGGATTGTTTCAACTTTTCTTCAAATACTTGGAAGAGTTTACCCTCCATGGCTGAGGCTAGGATGTTTGCTTCTGCAGTTCTTGTGAATATGGAAAGTTTGGAATTTTGACAGTTTTTAACGAATACTGACATACTACATATATTGGTAATCTAATTAAATATACAACCTTTTAAAATAGATAGAATTAATATAGACGAAGATTGTAAGAACAGCAAATGGAACAATAGCTATTGCTTAACTTTGTTAAAAAGACCTAACTTTTTTGTCAATATTATGAAACCAAGTAATTTTCTAAATACAATCCTCAGAAAATTATTCAGTTTGCTGCAAACATGGGCAGCTGTCCCCCCCCCCTGCCCCTCCCCCCGCCCCGCCTCGTACACCTATGGCTGTTAACAACTTGTAAACAACCTTGTTAATATGATCAGACTTGTTACAAGTCTGTTCCAACAAGTCTGATACAGTCATGATACAACAATATTGATACAGTCAACTTTGTGTCACCCACCCTGTTACATTCTTGTTATATCATGACTGTATCAAACTTGTTAGAACAACCTTGTAACAAGTCTGATAATGCCATCAAGCTTGTTACAAGTTGTTAACAACTTGTGCCAAACCTGTTACAACAACTGGGAACAAGCAGTGCGAACACAACTTGTCGACAGCTTGTGAACAGATTTGTAACAACTTGTTTGCAGACCTGTAACAACTTGTGTGTGTGTTTTTACGTGTGTAGTCGTTGCTACTGTAGATAGAGACAATAACAGAAAGCTGGGATGTGAAGGATATACAACCACGTGAAAAATATAAACAGAATTTCGACGTTTCGAGCGAAGACCCTTCATCGGAAGGTTCAAAGCCTCGGCTCAAAACGTCGAAGTTGAGGTTATATTTTTCAGGTAGTTGTATATCCTTCAGACCTTCATACCACAGCTTAAACTGATACTCAACTATTCAACATTAAGTCTGCATGTTAGCTCACCAAATGTGAATCGCTTTGAAACATTCGTTTGCTGAGGCATGCAGGTGTAATGTCAAACTATTTCTAGTATATAGTTCTGAGGCACTACGAGCGCGTGTATCTCTATATTACAATTCTATACACGCTGCCATTCAGCTTGTAAAAGTGAGTCAATGATTCATATATTTTGGTCCTTAAACTTATTCTCGGCTAAATGCTATCGGTATGTAATTCGTAAGTGATTAACTAATTGCTGCAACTCGACCTCTATACTGATTGATGAAGGAAAGAGCAAAATCGGACGAATGCAAGAGAAAGACCACTTATCTCTCTAGCATGTAAGTTTTCGTTGGCTGGTTGTCAATATGAAATGACCAAGTACGACGCTTTGATCGAGATGCTTTTTATAACGTTCCCTCTGGTTGTTTGAAGAGATAATTAACGACAATCTAGCGAGTGCATGTTATATATAGATCAGTGTTACCGACCCGCTTTTATGGCGGCAAAATTCGGCGGGCTACAAGTTGGAAAAGGCCGTTGTCTTCGCTTCGTCTTAAAGACGCCTGTCATCTGCTGAGCGATGTGACTTAGTACAAACTACAAACTTCACATTTTTCGCATTTGTGGGAAAGGAGTGGCGATAGTTATATAATATGCACAATGTGACTCATTGTACAGTTATATAATATGCACAATGTGACTCATTGTACAATACGTCGGTCTAATTTACACCGAATCCCTCAATTTATATAGATTTGTCAAAATAACTTGCATTTTTGGTCTCTCAGCATGATGCGTATGATAAATAATTACATTATTGTTATATTGATATTTATCGCGACGGCATAAAATCACATCGCTCAGCACAGCAGGCGACATTGTGCCTTCAGTCTCACTTCGTAAACAGTTGCTTCCGCAAATTTCTTAGTATTTTGCAAACTACTTTCTTGAAAATTCCTTCGTTTTTTTTTTGCTAATTATATAACTTTGCGAAACTCTTAGGATAAACACACAAAAACGACTGTGGGCTTACATGGTTGTACAGGTTACAACCTCTAGTCACAGAAGACTGATTTCGAAATTTGCATTTTCTAAAAGACCATGCAGTTCTCGGTAAGAGCTAAGCGTCGGAGGTTTCGGTTGAACTATTCTGGTTTAGCTTTGCCTTCGTCTTTCAAAGTAAAGCAAGCGTATGTAGGTCAATATATGAAACAGTTTCTACTGGTTATGTTACAAGATGTAACTTAACTTTGATTGTGATTGTATCGTAAAGAATATGGCCGAGGGTTACGACACAACTCGCTTTCATTCAACTATTGACGAGAGTTTTCTTTGCTGTATCTGTCTCGGTGTCTTACAAGATCCACAGCAATGTGAGAACAACGAGCACTATTTCTGTTCTGGTTGTATCAAGAAACACCTGGAGAAGACCTCGCATAGTTGTCCTGTCTGTCAAGATAAACTGACGGTAGAGACATTGCGTAAGGCTCCAAGAATTGTGGCCTACTGTGTTTCCCGTTACAAGATCAGTTGTGACCATGCAGCGAGAGGTTGTGATGCGGTTCTCGAGCTTGGAGCTCTACAAGCACACGTTCAGGACTGTGATTTCATGCCTGTCACTTGCTCAAATGAAGGTTGTGACGATGTCGTGAGCAAACGCGATGTAAAGCAACACGAGCTTGATTTATGTCGCTTCAAGACAACGACCTGTGACGACTGTGGGAAAAAGATGCCTCGTTATAAATATGGCGCCCATGGCTGCGTACTACGACGTGAAATGAACGAAGTAAAGCAGGGTCTAGTAGAAATTAAAGCCACACAAGACGAAATGATGAAAGAAATGAGAAATGGCATGCACCGAATGACGATTGCGTTTGAAAATCTTCAAAAGTCGGTAAACTCCAAGAGTACTGACATCGTTGTCATCGCAGGTAGGAATCCCAATACAAATCAGTCCCTTTGTTCTGTTGAGCGATTTAACTTGTTAACCCAAACCTGGACACAAATGCCTGGGTTGAAAAAAGCTCGAGCGGGTTCTGCGGCTGTAATGTTTAAGAATCAAATGTTTGTTTGTGGCGGGTACAGCGACTATGTAATTGGTGGGTATCTGGATACCATAGAAATATTGGATCTGAATAGTATTCCTGCAGAATGGCACAAGTTTTTTGTCAATCTTCCTATCAAGGTCACTGGTCACAAGTGCGTCGTCCATGGGAATCGTTTGCTGATTATTGGTGGCTGCATGAAGTCAGAAGAGAACTTGGATACGATATACGAGCTTCTCCTTGTTCCTCCATATTCGTCTAAGTTGCTTTGTCACATGAAGAAGAAACGATTGTCTCATGGAGTGGAGTTGTTCTACGATAAGGTTTTAATCGCTGGTGGAATCGGAGCGGAAATCGATGTGGAAATATTCGACATAGCAAGAAATGAATGTGTTGAAATGCCACCACTGCCGTCTCCTCTTTCGTTTATGGGCACAGTTCGCCGTGGTGACACCATGCTTTTGATTGGAGGCCGGGGGAATGGAAAAACCAGCAATAAGATTATCGAGTACGATTTCAAAACTGGCCACAGTAAGGTCCTATTGGCCATGGAAACGGAACGAGTTGGTTGTTCGTGTGTTTTTCGTGGAAACACGCTTATTGTAATTGGTGGTACGTGGTACAAGCCTGAAACAGTGGATTGTTTCGACTTTTTAACAAATTTTTGGGAGAAGTTACCCTCGATGACTCAGACAAAGGTATCTGCTTCCACAGTTGTTGTGAATGTGGAAAATTTGGAATTTTGACAGTTGTTAATGATTACTGACATATTATTAGTAATCTAATTATATATACAACCTTTTATAGACATAACTAATGTTGACGAAGACTGTAAGAACAGCAAATGGAACAATGGTTGTCGCTTAACTTTGTTAAACAGGCCTAGCTTTTTGTCAATATATTCGGTAACCAAGTCATAGTAATTCTGTATAAAAAATGCTCAGAAAATTATCCAGTTTTGCTGCAAGCATGTGAAATCAACGACATACTTTGACATCGTCAGTCAAGTACTCAACTACACACGTAAAAATCTCACATCTTGTAGTATGTTTGCCAACAAGCCGTCAACAAGTTATGTTCGCACTGCTTGTCCCAAGTTCTCAACAAGTTCGGAACAAGCTGTGAACAACTTGTAACAACCTTGTTGATATTATCAGACTTGTTACAAGGTTGTGCCAACAAGTCCGATACAGTCATGATATAACAATATTGTTACAACTTTGTGTCGTCCACCTTGTTAAATTTTTGCTATATCATGAATCTATCAGACTTGTCAGAACAACTTTGGTACAAATCTGATAATGCCATCAAGCTTGTTACAAGTTGTTAACAGCTCAGTTGTTCCAAACTCATTACAACAACTGGAACAAGCAGTGCAAACACGACTTGTTGACAGCTTAAGAACAGATTGTACAACGTTTTTGCAGACCTCTAACAACTTGTGCGCTTTTTCGTGTGTACACGTGGGCTGTATAGCCCTCCATTGAATGCGATCACGTCAAGGGCTGAATTACACACGCGGTAAAAATCTCGCAACTTGTCAACAAGATGTATTCGCAACAGGCTTGTAGCAAGCTTGTCAACAAGTTGTAACCATGCTGTTATTTTATCAAGTTGCTACAAGGTTGTCACTCACAACTTGTTGACGAATTGTTGAATTGCAGGACGATAACAAGTTGTTGGAACAACTTGTAACAACTCTGTTGAGCTCAACAACCTTGTAGCAAGTTGTCAACAAGCTGGGAACAAGCAGTGCGAACACATCCTGTTGACAAGTTGTTGGAACAGCATTGCTACAAGTCCGCTGCAGGTTTGTTACAACTTGTGCGTTTTTACGTGTGTAGGCGTGGTTCAAGTCTGTTTCAAGAGGAGAGTATCTTGGGAAATGGGTAAGCGCAAATGTCCCGAGTCTCTCCCTTCAGGAATGTTACTTGCCAAAATTGACGGAAAATTTGTTGTTGTTGTCAAGTCGCAAGCCAAGCCTCGGTAGGAAAAATCCGATGGTAAATTTTAATTGGCGCGCTTGCGAATGACTTGAACCAAGGGCCTGTTCATATAAGCTGACCTGACTCGCAATGTTGTTTTTATATGTTTTCGAAATTTGATTCACATGGGAACCACTTGAACGAGGCGAGATGTCGTCTTCCCGAGCTCAGATGGACGCACTGACACACGTAAAAACGCACAAGTTGTAACAAACCTGCAGCAGACTTGTAGCAATGCTATTCCAACAACTTGTCAACAGGATGTGTTCGCATTGCTTGTTCCCAGCTTGTTCACATAGATATAACAATATGATATAACAATATTGTTACAACCTTGTGTCGTCCACCTTGTTACATTTTTGATACATCATGACTGTATCAAGCTTGTTAGAACAACCTTGTGACAAGTCTGATAATTGTAATTCGTAAGTGATTTGATTAACTGCTGCAAGTCGACCAGTCCTGTACTGAGTAAAGAGCAAAACCAGACGATTCAAGCGAAAGGTCGACTTGTCTCTCTAGCATATAAGTTTTTCATTTGAGTTTCGTGGAAAACTGTGGGGAAATGTGGTTATTAATAACAGGGTGCAGAATTTATGCTACTTGTAGTTTTAATTAGACTTTTGGAAGTTTATTTATCAATATGAAATGACCATGCAAGCTAGTGCGACGCTTTAATTGAGATTCTTTTTATAAGGTTCCCTCCGGTTGTTTGAAGAGGTATTCAAAAACACATTAATAATTCATGAAGCAATTATCCAATCTTGAGTAAGAAATTAGTCATGTGCATACGTCTTTATACCAGCTAAAGAACACTTTAACAAAAGACCATTGTTATGCAAACTATATAAAGGTTTTTATATAAAGATTTTTATATAAAGATTTTTATATAAAGATTTTTATATAAAGATTTTTATATAAAGATTTGACTTATTATGCAAACGTTTTTGAAGCCATTTAAAAAACTCGCATGCAGGTCGTGTTTTATTAGATCTAAAGCCACTCGCGCTGCGCGCTCGTGGCTTTAAACCTAATAAAAACACTCCTGCTCGTTTTTTAAATAGTACTTAAAGCACGCGTAGCGGAGTGTTTTATATGTGATAAAACACGACTACAAGTGCTTTAAATGGCTTAAAAAACTACTCATCTTATACGAGTTCATTGGCGAAGTAATTTTTAAAATAAATTTTGTCTAAACCGAGAAAATCAAAGCTAAAGTTTATGTAAATTAACATGATTTTTTATCACATATAAAACCACGACACGCTTATGATTTTTCTTTGTGTTTTGCTCCTGAATTATTAATGAGATATATATATATATATATATATATATATATATATATATATATATATATATATATATATATATATATATAGATTGTCTATATCTTAAAATTAAATATCGCTACTCTGAGTTTCACGTCCTTTCTAGACGATCATCAGGCGATTTTGTTTACGATTTTGTTACTGATTACGTGATTGCATCATCATCAACCGTTCGCTGACGCGTTAACTTGTTTGTTCGCGCGCGTTCGAATTTCCCGGCGCTGAATTTTTCTCGATGGCGACATTTCGCGAAGAACTCGGATCTTTTGTTCAACAGATTGGTTTTATGTGATTTCATGATTTCTAATTTCTCTTCTATGCACAAATTACAACGCCTACCGCCAGGTGCATACGCTGCTGCTCGTTTCAAAATGGACCACTTAATACTGTATTCCCTTTTCTTGTCCTTCAAATCCCATTCGTATTTGGAAAGTTCTGTGTCAGACGAGTACGCAGGCTTATTAAACGACTTTTTGTGATTTCTGTATCTAACCTTGAACTCCGTGGAAGTCATTCCAATGTATTCTTTGGTCGTTCCATCATGGGGCGTTGTTATTTCTGCCTTATAGA